GAGCACCAGCTGGGACCTAGACCCCAGAGTTGCACTGTTGAGCCTCAGGCCAGCAGTATCAGATTAAATTAGAGTTTCAAGAGTTTATTATGAATACGAAAAACAGTTCACAAGCTAACGGATTTTATACCAAAATTTTGCAAAGTTTCAATTTTATAGAAGTTCTATCACAGTTTTACAAAAGTACCCTGTCTTTTTTCATGTCCACCAGTTTGTCTGTCTCTGTCTGCCTTGTTCCTATGTCTGTGTGTGTCCGTGTGTCCGTGTGTCCGTGTGTGTGTGTGTGTGTGTGTGTGTGTGTGTGTGTGTGTTTTCCTCCCTACGCTGTCCTGGAACTCAACGTTCCCTCCTCTTACCTCCACCTCCCACATGCTGGGATTACAGGTGTGTACCACCACACATAGCTACATATTCTCTCTGAAAGCAAGAAGTTCTTTAGGGTGGCTTATCTACACCTGCTTTCAACTGCTTTGTTTAATTTCATCGCCTCTTGCTGCCAAGGACAAAGTATTTTGTATTTATGTTTAGGGTTTGGTTTGGGGAGAAAGACTTAAGTTTCAGTGAGGTGGTTGCAGGTGGTTGGCCTTGAGCATCTTTGATTTTGTTTTGTTTTGTTTTTAAACAAAAGCATACTGCATGTTTCCATTGGGATTGCAAATTTTCTTCATACAAGGGCCACATGGAAGAGCCTGCCTTTCTTGGCTGAGTCCAGAGTATCTGACCACAACTTTAGACATCTAGGTAGTCTTTCAACATCTACGGTTTGAACCTCTAGTAAGGAAGACTGCATTCACATGGCCTTTTATCTCCAGCCCCAGATACCTGCATTAATGGCAGGTTAAGTATCTGATTCCTGGAGCTTTTCTGGTGGCGTCATTTACATCCTCATGATAGCAGTTTACACAATTAAGGACAGTCATAAGGAGTGCTCATTGTCTAAGAAGCATAGAACTAAGTATGTCCATTGGCTTTTCATTTTTATTTTTGGGATTGAAACAGAATCTGATGTAGTCCAGGCTGGTGGGATTAGAAGTGAGCTCCTCTCTGATTTTGTACAGTTCTGAGGATGGAAGACAGGGCTCCTGCCTGGTGGGCAACTTTACCAACCGAGCTACATCTCCAGCCCCTGAGTTGGCATTTAAAAAATATTCCACTGAACAAGGAGAAGGTATGCATGGGAGAATTTCAGAGATACCCTGATAGGGCCCATTGTTGTGTGGTATGGTTTGGGCTACTCTTTACTTTTCTTACAGTCTGCCAAAGGCCCATTGGTATATGGCATGGATTGGGCCACTTTGCTTTTTGTACTAATGGTCTGCCAAAGCCACTTTTCCAGAAAGTATATTCACAACCACCTGTTTTTAATGTAACAGGTCCCATATTGATGATAAGTGCTGCCAAGCTAAAATAAAAGCCAGGTGGGTCCCTTCACCTAGGAGTTAGTAAAAGGCTGACAGTCTTCAATGGGGCCAACAGCTGTGGTAAGACAATGACTGCACATAGCAAAGAGGTGTGGCACAGAGATGGGCAGGGGACAGGGATGTGCCATAGACAGAGCCCGCCTAACATCCCCAGGGTAGTGGCCTCAAAGACCTCTTCCCTCAAGTCCCAAATCAAAACCCAAGAAGCCCTCCATTCAAGTGTGAATCTTCAATATGAGAGCCTTGGTTTTATGACTTTTGATTCTTAATTTTTAAACCTTCATCCAAATCCTTAATCATTGTGATGGGGTGGGGCTCTATGACCACACAATTTCATGAAGAATGTTTCACTTCAATGCACTAGTGTGGTGTGCCTCAGTTTATTAGGAGAATATTTCTGAGAAGGTTGGAATAATTTCCTATAAAACACATAAATGGACACTCAGCATGTAAATGAAGCTAACAGGTCAGGAAATGAAAACTCCCTCCCCGCAGTCTCTAGCTGTGCCTGTCCCAGACCAGTAATGAGTATCAGGAAGAAAGGCTCATTTTCCCTATTGATGCTCTGTTGTTTCAAACCACTGCTGCTGCCGTGATCCCCCAGGCAACAAATGAATCATTGTGAAGTCTTTTCTGGTCCTCTCAATGGGCAATTATATATTTTTTAAAGACAATAAATTTTGTCATGGAGCAGCTGATTACATTCATTTATGAAAATAACTAAAATGCAGTGAATCTGTTTCTTTTGGGGGGGTCTGGTCACGTTAAGATAATTATTAAAGCCATAATAGAGTACAGTGGGCCTGGAGTTGAGCCTCTTTCCTACCCCCACCCCCACCACCCCCCACCATGCTATGTGCCCTTGAGTAGACAGCGGCACTGTTAGAAACAACATGGCCCAATATGCTTTCATTCAGAGAATTGTTGGGTGGAGGAAGTACCTGAGACATTTACAAGGTATTGGTTAGTTTCCAGATCTTAACCTAGGGTGGAACATCACACACACACACACACACACACACACACACACACACACACACACACACACGGGGTTCATTCTAGGACCCTCCTTAGATACCAAATTCCTAGGGTGCTTGAATCCCTTATATAAAATTGTGTAGTGTTTTAATGGAACATATGCACATCTTCTTGTCTACTTTAAGTCATCTTTAGATTGCTCATAACACCCAGCACAATATAAGCTCTGTACAAAGTCATAGTGAGATATTCAGAGAATGACAAAGGAAGTTGGCACGTACTCAGTACCAACATGATTTTTTTCAGCCTATAGTTGGTTGAATCTATGGCTGCAGAATTTCAGGTAAAGAAGACCCGCTACTTGTATTTCTTGCATAGTTCAGCTTTTCTACATTTGTGTAGATGTGCAATGTGCATTCTGTAGCTCGAAAACCTCTTTCTACAGCAGTCTACAACTATTACTGGCACAAAATACTCAGGATGAGTTTCCCTCTGGTTCCCCTAGTGAACAGACCCATCAACACAAGAAATCAAATCACCTTTTCAAGTCAAAATGTGATCCCTTTTGTTTTGTTTTGTTTTGTTTTGAGGCAGGGTTTCTTTGTGTAGCCTTGACTGTCAGAGAACTCACTCTGTAGACCAGGCTGACCTCAAACTCACAGAGACCTGCTTACATCTGCCTCCTGAGTGCTGGGATTAAAGGCCTGCACCACCACCATCTGGCTAACATGATTGTTTTCTTTCTTTTTTTTTTCTTAACTTTTAATTATGAGTTTTTACATGTGTCTGGATGCATATATGTACCTGAGTTCAGATGTCTGAAGAGCCAAAAAGAGATTTTTGGATGCCCTGGAGCTGGACTGCAGGCAGTTGTAAGCCACACTGGACGTAGGTGTGTGGAACAGAATTCCAGTCCTTGCAAGAGCAGCAAATTCTCTTAACCAGGGCCTTCTCTCCAATGCAAAACAGTATCCTTTCAAAAACATAATTTAAATGAAAGAGCAATCATCCAAAAAATAAATAAAAAAATGATATGTTGAGCTTAATGCAGTTTCTTCTACCCTCCATCTCATGTGAATTTTGTTGCTGTTGTTCTGTGTCCAGACATATTCTAGAAAAGCAGAAGGAGTGTATCTTAAACTCGTCAGTGGAGAAATACTCAAAAGCTTTTGTCTGTGCATCACTGCTTTATACAAACAAAAGCATGTTCTGATGCTGTCCAGTAATCTGCATTTTATCATTTGCCTTTCAATAATATCAACCTGTGGATCTGAGACCATCACACTTGGTTCTGGGGAGTGCAAAGAATGAGAGACAAGCAGTGTGAGGGAGCAGGCACCCAGCTCATCCCTTGTGGTAGTGATTGTCACATGACAGTAGATGTCCAGTGACTCAACAGTGTCCACTGGTCTGAGGAACACAGCCAACTAGGAGTATTTCCAGGTGCCAGGGACTCAGCTCAACCCTCAAGGTGGGTCCTTTGTGGGTTACTGGCTTGCTGAAAGGTCAAATACCTCCTCAGTGCTTACAACTCAGTTGCTGAGTCCTTGCCCCTGACCATGAAGCCTGCATAGCAAGCTTTCAGATATTGGAGTCTACTCATTACCATACTAAAAACTAGCTGAAGGAAACTAAGGGAATTCTCCAGATAAGCACGCATAGCAAATAGACACCAGTCTTTTAAAGGTTTCTTTGCAGTTTGATGCTATACTAAGGGCTGACAGTAGGGTTTCGAGCATGATAGGAAAGTATTCTATTACTGAGTTATATCCCCAGCTCTATAACTTTAGATATAGGGTTTCCATATGTTGACCAAACTGGCCTTGAACCCACTCTGTAGCCCAAACAAAGCCATGAATTTATCACCCTCTTACCTCAGACTTTGGGACAGCTAGGATTGATGGCTTGTACTACCATGCCTGCTCTTCAAGTTCTTTTGTTTGTTGTTTGTTTGTTTGCTTGTTTTTGACATCATAATACAACTACATAATTTCTTCCTTCTGTTTCCTTATTCCAAGCTTCCCATATACCCCACCTTGCTCTCTTTGAAATTCATGGCCTTTCTTTTCATCAATTGACATTACACACTTCTAGCATATGTATATGCATATATGTTCTTTTTTTTAATAATTTATTATTTTGTATTTTTGGTACATTGATGTTTCCCCTGCATGTATGTCTGTGTGAGGATGTCAGATCCCCTGAAGCAGGAGGCATAGATAGTTCGTTGTGAGCTGCCACATAGGGGTTGAGAATTGAGGCCAGGTCCTCTGGAAGAGCAGCCAGTGCTCTTAAACCCCCGAGCCAACCCCTGCATATATATTCTCAAATACGTAACACACCCTGCTCAATCTGTATAATGTTACTTGGATGTATGTTTTCAGGGCTGAGCACTTGGCCTTTAACCAGCAGTTGGTGTGCTCTTCCCTGGGGAAGACTGTTTCTCCTGCTCTCAGCAGTCCAAAGTTAATTGTTCTCCTCAGACATGTGCATATAGGCCTGGAGTTACTTGGGGGATTTTTCTAGATGCTTTCTGCTTGTCTGAATAAAAGGCATCTCCCAAGCCTACTGTTTGCTATTAATCGCCTTCTCTCTTCTCAGATCCGAGTGATGGTGGACCTGTGCAATAGCACCAAGGGCATCTGCCTTACAGGTAAGTCTGTGGTGCTCACCGAAGAGCTGCATGCACGTGGCAACCCTGGGGCTAGCCAAAGAGCAGGGGCAGAAGGCACACCTAGGGGTACTTTGTTACCAAAACAAATGCATCTTCTTTCTTTTAGCAGATGTTTTTAATGGGAATAAAACCAACTGTAATAAGATTATGACTATTACTCTCTGGTATTGTCACAGAAATGTGGCAATGGAAAATAACTAGGACTTGAGTAATTAGAAATGTGTGTGACCCTAAACTAGGGCCAAGGATGTTTTCTTCACTCCTGCTAGTTTTAAATGGGAAAATAAAGATGGGGAAAGAACATACTACGAGATAGAATTCTCTTCCGTGAGAGGTACCATGCTGCATTAGATGTAACAATTTCCCTATATCAGATGTGCAGCTTGAACAGACAGCTCTGGAGCTCTGGGAGAATTTGCTGAGCAGTCACAGAGTACTGTTTTTCTGCTTTTGTTCGTTATCTTTGTGTCATGGTGTGCCATGGTGTGTGTGTGTGGTGGCAGTCAGAGGACAACTGGACACAGAGCTGGTTCTCCCCTTCCACCTTTAAGTGGGCTCTGAGGATCAAACTTGGGGCGTTGGGCTTACATAGTAGGCACACTGTCTGCTGAGCCACTTTTATGAAGCATTTCTTGTGCCACATTCCATGTGCTAGGTGGGCTTAGAGGCTGGCTATACACCTTATTGCCAGTTCTCAGGACACATGGAATAGGACTGGCCAGGGGGTTTATCAAATCTTGGGTCAAGGAATGGCTGATAGAAGGATGGATGTGTGTTTTGTTTGGGGTTTTGTGTGTGGGTGTGGGTGGGGGGGAACTTGGCTGAGTTTGTTTGTTTTTAAGATAGGATCTTGCTATGTAGACCAGTCTAGCCTCAAAAGTGTGAGAATGCCCTTTCCCAGGCTCCTGGGTACTGGCCTTACTGCTGTGCACACGTCCAGTAATGGTGTGGATTTCTATGTGAGCCTGACAGAGCCGGCCTCTGACCTTAATGGCAGGCCATGTGACAGTGAGGGCAAAGAAAAGCCGGGTTCAGAGTAATCACCCTCACTGTCCCCTAAGCCAAGTGACACTCTGACCTGTCCTATAGAGCCTGACTCCAGATATTCTATTCCCTGCCCCTCCAGAGGAGGGTGGCAGCCTAAAGAGTAAGGAAACTGTGATTCCATTAAAACAGTACAAATGGAGTGACCAAACACGTCTGTGGACTCTAAACGATGCTTTGGACATAAGCTGATGTTTACTGCTAGGAATCTGAGGTACGGGGGTCCTGCATGTCAGGAACCCAGCCAATCTCTACAGCCTTTGCCTTAGTTTCCCTCCTCACTTGGGAGTTAGTTTGTCAGAAGGAAGAACTTATGACTTCTATGAATGAGTAAATAAAGGTGGGACCTCAATTCCAAGGCTTACTGTAGCTCCCTTGTTTTGACCTCAGGAAGACAAGCTTCTTGGGAAATGCTAATTGAATTGTGTAAGTGGCACCCCGCCCTCACAGAGAATGGAATGTCTTCGGAAAGCCCACTCCTTTGTCCAGAAACTCTAGTGGTGTAAATGCCTTCCTTCCATCTGTGGAAAGCCCTCTTCAGAGCTCCCACGTGTGACAGCCATCAATGCTACAGAAATGCTCAGATGGATGGAGTGACAGGCACAAAAGCCTTGTTGAGAGGCACGGAGAAAGCCTCTCTCCAGTTTTTATAGAGACCCGAGAGCCGGGCTCATGGTGAATGTGCAGGATTGAGCTATTGAAGCCACTTAAAGGAGAGTGACAGGGAGCGGGCACGGTGGAAATGGCTTGAGTGGGTAATTCTTTCTCACCTCAGAACACGCTTTCAAGAGCCAACACTTTGTTCTTTCGTGTCAGCTTGAAACTGGATCTCCTTTTTACACAGAAGCTCTTCCATTAAAAACTTAAGTATTAAAAAGTTACTAAAGCAAGTGGGTGTTTTGGGACAGGCCACACAGTCTCGATTGGGGGTGGGGACAGAAGGGTGAACAACTGGACCCAGGACTGAGTTGGGCAACTTTGATAGTAGGCAGAGAGCCTCTGTCCACAGAGTAGCATGAATTCTGGGCAGAAGAAAGATCTAGGCAGAGCTGGGCTTGGGCCCCGAAGAAAGACCCAATTTTACAGTAGATTCATCTTTTAAAAAACTCTTTTAAAAAGTATACTGAAGTTGGGGAGTAACTCCACTGGTGGACAGGCTGTACCCCAGGGAGCCCTTGCTACAGAAGAGAGAGTCAGGGATGCAGACTCCCAGGTTTCCTCAGGTCTGTGGAGCAATGTTTCCCCTGAGCTCACTCTAAACAGCAGATCTGGGCCTTGCCATCTGAGGTGAGATGGAAGCCTTATTTCTTTAAAGTCGGGCTTTGAGGAATGGGTGGGGACTTCCTCTGCGATCATGCTATGACCAATTGCCCTGGGCCACGTGAGCAGGGAGATGTCTGGAGCGGAGCTACAGACACTCAAGGACAGTTCTCTTGCCCTTGATTTGAAATGGCCATTGTGGATGGAGCCAGGCCATCCAGAAGCCTGCGGTATTAGCCTTACCAGTGCCCAGTCTGGAAGCTATACTCCCTAGTTACTACTTCCCCATAACTGTAGAGGCTGTATTTCTTGCCTCCATTAAGATTCTTCAATGCTGCTAGTAGAAACCCACTACTTGAGAAATAATACACATGCCAAATCATCATACAGCCAGAGGCATCTATTGCCAGTACAGGTTAGGTCATGCTTTGGTTAACAGACGACAAAGGATGTGTTGATGGTGACTAATTTTTTTTCTGGATAATTGTCATGACATATTAGGGGAGCTGTGACCCTCTGCATGCTCTTCACCAGGAGTGCTTGGTGAAAATGCAGGTTCTGGACCTCACTCTCAACCCAGAACGAATTAGACTCTCCAAGGGGCACCCAGATATTTGATTTTAAGAAGCATGGTGGGCTAATCTCTGGATTTAGATAGAACTGTAGCCAGGGTGTCAGTGGGGCTCAGGGAATGGGACTAGAAATGCCCCGTTAGAGAACTACGAAGAGCTAACAGTCCTAAACACACAGCACCAGGCCTCACCCTGATATGGTTGCCTGGTTCTCCTGGAAGCTGCTGATGCCCACTTGACATGGTCAGCATGCAGCTCGCTGAGTGTCCTCCCTTCATCCCTTGCCTCTGCTTGGCTCCATAATGTAGAGAAGCCAATTGCTTCTTCTATCCCTTGTTCTCTATTGGCCCTTTTCCAGCACACGTGAGCGCCATCTGCTGGTAAAATTACGATACTGAGAAACTCAAGCCTTTTTAGCAAATCACTGCTTTTCTTCTTTAAAAAAAAAAAAAAAAAAAAAAATCTCTATATCCTTAGCTGTTCTGGAATTCATTTTATAGACCATACTGGCCTCAAACTCACAAAGATCCTCCTGCCTCAGCCTCCCGAGTGAAGAGATTAAAGGTGTGAGCTACAAAAATAAATCCTCTGTCCACAATATATTCTGATCATGGTTTCCCCTCTCTCACCTCCTTCCAGATCCTCCCGACCTCCCTATCCATCCGACTCCAACTCCGTGTCTTCTTCATGGGACCTGCCTTTATGTGTACCCAATGACACTCCACTGGAGAAAACTCATTTTTCTTTTGCAATCCGTTGTCAATTGGAGCCTGGTACCTATGCTTCCACGATCTCTGTGAATGCATGAGCATCAGCCCTGTTGTGTCTGGAAGACACAACCCCTCTGACTCTTCTTTATGCCTCCTCGTCCACACAGTTCCCTGAGCCCTGAGCATTCCAAGGTCTCTGACTTCAGGAGTCATCTGTTGCTGTATCCCTCTAACAGGCCATTATCTGGCTTTCTCCTAGTTGAGCAAGTGTCTCTATAGTAGGATGTAGAGTCTTTCAGGTATATGTAACAGAGTGCTATAGCTGGATCTTGAGATAGATCTATTCCCATCTTCCTGAAGAGTTTCCGCACTGGTTTCCACAGTGGCTGTACAAGTTTACACGCCCACCAGCAATGAATAAGTGTTCTCCTTTCCTTGAATCCTCAACAGCACAAATTGTCATTTCTTTTATTGATCTTGACTACTCTGACAGGTATAAGATGGAATCTCAACATAGTTTTGATTTGCATTTCCCTGGTGACTAAGGATATTGAACATTTCTTTGTTTCTCAGCCACTCGTGTTTCATCTTCTTAGTTCTCCTTTGTCCAAATGATGGCGTACTTTCCCAATACAGAAGCTTTTAGTTTCATACAGTCTCATTTATTAACTGTTGATCTTAGTGCCTGTGCTACTGGTGGGTCTCCTGTTCAGAAAGTCTTTTCCTGGGCCAGTGAGTTCAAAACTATTCCCCAATCAGATTCGTTGTATCTAGCTTTATGTTGAGGTCCTTGATCCATTTGGAGATGAGTTTTGCGCAGGGTGATAAATATGGATCTATTTGCATTCTTCTACTTGCTGCCATCTGGTCTGACCAGCACTGTTTGTTGAAGATGCTGTCTTTTTTTTTTTCAGTGTGTATTTCTGGCTTCTGTGTCAAACATCAGGTGTCCATAAGTGTGTAGATTTATATCTGACCTTCAATTCGATTCCACTGATTGGTGTGTCGGTTTTTATGCTGATACCATGCTGTTTTTATTACTATAGCATTGCAGTACAACTTGAAATCAGGAATGCTGATGTATCCAGCAGTTCTTTACAGTTCAGGATTGCTTTAGCTGTCCAGTTTTGTGTGTGTGTGTGTGTGTGTGTGTGTGTGTGTGTCTGTGTGTGGTGTGTGTGGTATGTGTGGCTGTATGTGTGTTTCCATATGAAGCTGAAAATTGTCCCATCTATTTCTGTGAAGAACTGTGTTGGAATTTGAAGGGAATTTAATAGAATCTGTAGATTGCCTTTGGTAGGATGTCCATTTTCTCTATATTAACCCTATATTAACAGATCCATGAACATGGAAGATATTTCCATCTTCTGATCTCTTCTTTAATCTCTTAAAGTTTTTATTATACAAGTCTTTCACTTGCTTGGCTAGAGTTATTCCCTCAAAATTTTTTTTGAGGCTATTGTGAAAAGTATTGTTTCCCATCAAAACACTGCATTTGCTACTCCCGGACACGTGTTCTTCCAAGAATTCTATGTCCCTAGATGTTCTGGGATCCATTTATGTAAAATTCTCCCATCTCCTTCTAATTGGACATGAAGTCCTCCTTATTCCACTAAATAGTTTTTGAATTTCTAGCTTTTTCTGCGACTCAACAGTCACATTTATCCACAACTTTGCCCAACTTTCACCTTAAAGGTCTCTCCATGTTTTCTCCCTCTCCGTGCCCCTCTCTGCTTCTCTGTGTTCTCAGTCTCTGTCTCTGTCTCAGGTAGGTTAACTGTAGTCATCCTCCAGTTGCAAAGAGTGTCTCAGACCCACACTGATGTCCCAGCAACATCCTCTGCTTAAGAACCCACCTCCCATGGTCTCTGCATCTTGTTTTGGCTTTCAAGTGCTTCCTGCCCAGCCCACCCACTGCTTTGTGCAAGCACATCTCTACCCACACAAGCATGGCCAGTTCTTTTATTCTTTTTCTGAACCTTGATAGCTCCCACTTCTGGACCTTGGCTTCTGTCTGTCCCCTGCATGAAATGTCTGGCTTCTCTGTCCCTTTGTCCCTTCAGGACTATAGACCAAAGATCACCTTCTTGGGAGCTCTTCCAAGACTTCAATAACCTGGGGGTTATTTCTTTACTGAGCCCTCATATTTCCCTGTGGTTTCAAAGGATCTAATGTGCTCATATAGGCTATGAACACAGCAGATACTAGAATTGGTATTTCTTAGTGGAGTTTGATGTGCATGATATATGTTTAGAAATGCTTGCCTTGTGGATAGTCAAAAGCTTAGATTGGGAATCATTATGTATGATGTAGAAAAACACAAGGAACTCAGTCCTCTCATGTTCCATCCTTCCTGGCTCAACCAAGTGCTCAGTCTAGCTGACAATAAGGCATGCCTATTTCTGGAAGCAAAATCATTTTCTCAGTGTATAAATGATTCACCCAAACCACTTAGGTCCTTGGATCATTTCACATTAAAGAAGATATTTGTCACCTTACCTGAGCACTCAGACTTTCTCAGGCTATTTCATGCAACAAAATACAGGTCCATAAAGCCAGCATGTGCTTGGGTTACTCCTCAGTGGCCTGGAGGAGACAAGTTGGCTGGGGAAGCTCTTGGAAGTGTTCTAGTGACAGCCAGTGGTCTGCTCTGAAGTGACAGAACCTCCATGTGCCAGGGCTGCACAGGGCCACCGTGTTTCCATTGGTCCCAAAATAATTAGTTTAACCTCCTCTAAGATAATTGATGTATGAATCTATAATGAAACCAACCCAGAAATTATGCTGGGTCTATTGAAATGGAAGTAAAATGGTTTGATTAGCAAATGAGTCTTTGCTGAATTGTTTGTAAGGCCCTTTGGGAGAAATGTAATAAGCTGTAAATAAGTGATGTGGGATTGTTTCCTTAGCAGCCACTTAAGACATTTTAAGGAGGGCAGGAGTTTGTGGCTCTGGTTTCTTTCTACCTCATGTGACTTATCGTCTAAATTCCTTTTTCTGCTGTAGGACCACCTGGACCACCAGGTAAGAACCTATTTTGTATTTTCCTAGTTCAAGGGACAGCTATGGGTGGCTGGAGCCCCAGGACCCAAGGACCAGACAGAGGAGGTAGAGGGAAGGAGTAAGGCAGCATCCTGTTCATGGCCTCATCCTTTTCTGTGGCCCTAACTTGTGAGCTCCCTGTTCTAGGAGATCAGGCGGTGGGGAGGGGCAGGAAGATGCTGGCTGTCTCACTGGCTAAAGGAAATCACATGACCTGCAGTGAAGATGTCTTTAACTGTTCCTACTCTATGCTTTGGCACAGGACCACCAGGAGTTCATGGGTTACCAGGACACAATGGATCAGATGGACAGCCTGGTCTCCAGGGACCAAAGGGTGAAAAAGGAGCAAACGGGAAGAGAGGAAAAATGGGTAATTGGACAGTTCCTTTATGTCTTATCTCCCTGACTACATTCAGATGGGTAGCACTGGGAAATATGGTACCCAGAGGAGGCAGGGCACTTCGTGCTGTGTGAGGCACTGATGTAACCCCCACCTGGAAGTTGCTGCGTTGAGATGCCAAGAATCTTCTTTTTGGACCAAATGGCTATATCACAGCGAGAGGACAGCTCCCTAGGAACTAACTTCTCTTTCTGCAGCTGGAGGTGTATGGGAGCAGGCTGTGTCTCTTCCTGCTCCTATGCTCACACAGCCCCCCCCCCCGTCTCCCTCCCTCCCCCACTCACACCCACATTCATTCAAGTCTCAGCCTCTGCTTTGCTTTCTGTTGCCACTTTCTTTCCATCTGCTTGCTGTGTTTGGCTAACTTCAAGGAACCGATGCTGGCCTTTGCAGAGAGGATTTCCCTCACTAGAAGAGCAGCTGCCATTGCTTTAGTAGAGAGACAACACTCGGGCCTCCCAAGGCTGGCGTGTGACTCAGGGTCCTCTCTTAAGGAAGCTTGCAAAGGGATTCCATTGTCTGGGGCAGTTCCTCTGGGCTGCTGTGTGTGATCACGGTAGAGGCCCAGAGACACCAAGGTGTCTGTTGTGTTTAGGGAGAAGCAGGGACTGGCGTGGGGCCTCACAGAAACCCTGGCCAGGGTGAGCTAGGCTCTGAAGAACTATCAACACCACCCATAGGAGCTGTGGAGGTGGACAAGTAAGAATCCTCTGAAGAAAATGGGCATGTGGCACAGTGAGGACCCATAGACACCAGAGGGCTTTTTTTTACATCAGTCAAGGCCACTAGTAAAAAGGCAGAGAGAGGTGGATCTTAGCCAGAGACTGGACCTGGTCCTCTTTGTGCAGCCTCTTAGCTCTACAACCATGGGCAGGTCCTGGGCTAGGAAGGCAGCAGGAGCTTCTTTCAGATCAGCTCCCCCTCCCAGGACCTCAGACAGTCCCCCCTCTCCTAGCACCTCTGCTATCCCCCTATTAGCTAAGAGAAAACAGAGGAGAGGGAGAGAACTGTGGAAACCCTTTACCCCTTGGCAAGCCCACCTGCTTGTGTGTCCAGGGGCAGCCATGAAAATGACAATGGGCACACATCATCCAAGGCAACTAGGACCTCACCAGGCCAGCAATTACAACTGGAATTACAGAGCAGGATAATAACTATAACTGCCAATGCTCATCAGCATAGAATAATGATGACTACAAAAATATACAACCATTTGGTGTATCCTGGGAAGACTTCAAACTTATGATCAAGGCTAGAAAATTAATATTCCAGGAGCAGGCTTGGGGTGAGGAGGACCATGTTGGAAGTGGATATGGGGCAGACAGAAAGGAAGCACTTTCTAAAAGACTTGGGACAGAGCCCTGGACTTGAGGACGTGTAATTAAGCAGCCATGTCCTCAAGAAACCACAAGAAGGACAGAACATTTCATTCACTTATGAGAAACATGCTTAGGTGGCAGGCTCCAATCTGGACACTGGTTCAGAAGTGGTTAACCTGATTAGCCTTTGGAGAGACAAAGGGAGCCCTTCCTATCTCTGAACAGTCACTGAAACAGTATTGACCAGGACACCAAACAGAAGAAAGGGCATTAATGTTACTTACATGCAGGGAGTCACGGATCAGCCCCATTCAGAAAACTGTATGGCCCCCTTTTCCTACAGGGAAGGGATGAGTGGATCTGAGACAGAAATTAACTTACATTAATAATGATCCTATCTGGAGTCTGAATGAGCTCCAGGGGCAGTCATGATCTTGTAAGGAAAGTGGATATAGTCCTTAGTCATTTCTGAGACAGATAACCCACACCAGCCCCCAGACAGGTGGAGGAGGGCACCTATGTCTTTTCTGATGCTGTCTAGTCTTGGAGCAGATAATAGGAACTCCAGAAACCCTCTCTTTAAGTGTGGGTGGGTGGAGGACCTTGATTCTAAGCCTGGCTTGAAAGCCTTTAATTCCCTTATGTCAAGTTGATCATCATGCAAAACTATGTCAAACTGGAGGAAATTGTTCCATGAGCCACAAGCACGTTCATGAAGCTGGCATTATGATGGGGAGAGATGGGAAGCAATACAGCCAATCTTGGAATGTTCTGGATAGAGACAGACTGAGGTTACCTGAAGAATCAGGCCCCTCGAAAAGAGATCGCTGGGCCGTTGCTCAGTTCTGAGCCAGCCTGGGTTTGAGAGCAAGGGAGACATTGTCCAGGTCACCCAGAAGGAGATCCTAAGGCCTTCAGTCTTCAACCATTCCTGAGCCAGAAGAGAGCTTAGGAGAAGAGAAATGCAGGGCCACATGGGGATCCTTCTGTGTCCGGGGAGCAGTGAGAAGCCCTTGAGGGTTCTTGGGTCAGATCTACCTTCCAAATCCCATGTTTGCCGCTACCTGGAGAACACTGTGGCACCAACTTATGAGCGGGAGGGAGCTGAGTCGGGGATGGAGAAGGGTGAAGAAAAACTGACAGAATGGAATGATGTTTGAGGGGATTTTAGCGGTACTGATAGGGCGTGGAAAGAGAGACTGAGGGTCAAGGGGGGTACAAAGACTGCCCTGCCTGGCCACACCTTGATGGACTGCGGGCTCTGAGGTGGGCAGCCTGGTCTAACTCAGCCTTAGGGAAGACGTCAAGGGATGTACTAAGCTGAGGTGCCTTGAGGTATTCAGGGGACTTGGAGATGCTGGTGTCCAGGCCAAGGGAACTCCGAGACATTGTGAGCAAGTATAGGGATGATCTCTTAGGGAGGGAGCAGGACAGGACGGGAGTCTGGAGTGAAACTCTGAGAGACAGCAACATCTAGTGACCCCCTAGAAAGGGGTCAGCAAAGGGATCCAGAAAGAACACTGGGAAGATGTGAAGCAGGGGAGGAGCTTAGCACATGTTAGGGCCCTGTGTAGAAGATGGCTCTGTGGGAGAACTAAGCAAGAGACCTTGGAATTAAGGAAAGGGCAGGTTTCGCCTTTAATCCCAGCACTTGGGAGGCAGAGGCAGGCAGACCTTTGTGAGTTTGAGGCCAGCAGTGGAGGAGTGAGAGCTAGTTCCAGGACAGGCTGCCTCAAAAAAATAAAAAAGAAAGGAAGGAAGGAAGGAAGGAAGGAAGGAAGGAAGGAAGGAAGGAAGAAAGGAAGGAAGGAAGAAAGGAAGGAAAGAAAAGGGCAGGTTTCAATGAAGGAATTGTGGAGAAAGATTAGAAGCCCTGGGTTTGCAGGTTCTGAGCCCATCCTTGAGTACTGGTGATTGGTGGGGACCCAGTCTAGATAGGAATGAACCTAGGAGCTAAAGGCCTTTGAAGCAGGACTCGGGTGAGCAGGAGCTGACACATGCTCTTGTACTCATCTGGTCTTGACCCCTACGACAGAAGACCTAACACAAACAGTGTGAAGGAGAAAAGGTTCCTTTCCGCTTGCAATGTAGAGTTTTCCACGCATGGCAGCTGGCTGTTTCTGGACCTGTGTAAGGGAGCCCCTTACAGGCAGAAGGGCATGGCAATTGAAATCTCCTTACCCTGTGGCTGCCAGGAAGTAGAGGTCAGTGCAGGAAGCAGTGAGGGACAAAATGCCCTTCAAAGGTATGACCTTAGTGGTCATTTTCTCCAGCCAAGCTCCTACCCACCAGCACCCCAGTAATGCCATTCTGTGCTGAATATATCAGTGTGCTAAACCTTTGGCGACAGCGGTGCCCTCATGGTCCAATCTTCTCTGTGGTGGGGGTGGGGTGGATGGAGCAAGCCTTCAGGGACACTTTGTATCTAAACCATAGCAGCTGCAGAGAAGATTGACACAATGAAGCAGAACTTAAGACTTTAACCTGTGTCTCCAAGAGAATCAACTTCCTGCCCAGCCTCCAGCTTCAGAAACGGAGAACAGAACTGGACTTGGAGTCCAGAGGCTCCATGTGGGCCCTGGCTCGTCACTGGCCATGTGTGAGCCCTTGAGCTGGTTACAGGATCACTATTCCTATTTCTAAAATGGGGATACTGGTCGTCTTAACCTCACAGTGCTTTAGGGAAAATGAGTTAGTGTATATGAAATGTTAAGGCTGGGCACATAATAAATTCTGTATCAGCATTAGCCAGCATCATTTCTTTTTTCCATTTCATTAAGGCAAGGTCTTTAGCTCAGCCTGGTCTCAACTTCCTTATGTAGCTGAGGATGACCTTGAATTCCTGATCCCCTGTCTCCATCCTAGGAAATGGAATTATAGAGATGTACTACCCGGCATGTTTAATATATCGCTGGAGGTTGAGCCCAAGGCCTTGCACAAGCTAAACAAACACTACCAATTGAGCTACATTTCCAAAAGGCTAAAAAAGAAATCCTCCCATCACTCTGTCACATCCAGCTTCAAAACATGTAGTTTATAAATTATTTGAAATGCATATTTTATAACATTTTAATGAAATATTTATATTAAATCCATATAAGCTATTAATATGTTTTAATTGACATATAATTGCAATTATATTATGGGGTATACTGTGGTGTTTCAGTACATTGGAACAAGATGTAATGGTCAGATCAGGGCAACTTTCACACACACACACACACACACACACACACCTTCCTGAAAGTAGAATTGGGATTTCACAGCCACTCTCAACCACACAGTGAGTTCCAGGACAGCCTTAATTACATGTGACTCTGTTTCAAAAAGACTACATAATTTCTTCATATTGGGAAGTCATCTTGTGAGCTATTTTAAGAATTCACTCCAATTCATCAACTATTGTTACTCTATTTTGTTCCTATAGTGTAATCGATCCTCTGTCAATTCCCATCTCCACAAATCAAACTCCCTTTCCAGTGCCCCCAACCCTGTCCAGGTTTTGGCAAACACTACTTCCTACTCCTTTGGGATCAGCCCCACCTCCATATACAAGTGAGAGCGTGTTGTGTTGTCTTTCTGCCCTTAATTTATTTTCCTCTGTGTGAGGAAGCTGAGTGGGAATTTCTCGCATGGCTTTGGAATTAAGAATAAGCAACTTGATACCGTCAGTTATGTACCAGCATCTTCTAGGTACTCTCACATCTCTGGGCCTCAAAACCATCTGCCTCATAGTTTTCTCGCCTAAGAGTTAATATTGTAATGTCTTCTCTAAAACTCAGATCATCATTTTAAGAAAACCAAAAATAATGCCTTCCTTCTAATGCATAGCTTGAGACTGGGTTTTGCATGACACCCTCTGGCCCCTCTCCCTTGCTTTGGTTAGTGACAGGTGGCATTACCCAAAATAAATTGTCCTCCCTCAGAGCCCCCTGATGTGAAGACAGTGAAACCGGCCCCAGCCTGGAGCTCTCACAGGCTTTCTGGAACTATCTGTTTCGAGTGGGTGACTCCAGAAGCCAATGGGAGAGCCATTTCTCCCTCAGGAGTTAGGTAGGGATAAAGCCAGTGAGAAGTTGTGGGACAAATGATGCAGGTCATACCATGTTACAGTGTCACTGTGCAGGGCTGGCAGCTCTGACCTAACCTGCATCAAGGTAGAAGATGGTGTGCATATAGTGAATGGCAGTTGGGTGGTGCCACTGGGTGGCCAAGGTGAATTATGAGCAGAGGATGCTTTGTCTCATGTGATAGTTAAAAAACAAAAGCAGGTGTGATGGTGTATTTCTATAATCCCAGCCAGAGAGTGGCAGGGGCAGGCCAGAGGATCCTCCTGCCAGAGATAATCCAAATATAGCATCAAACTCCAGGTTCAGAAAAGATACCCTATCTCAAAATGTATGATGAGGCCAATGATGTGTTTTAGCTTTCTGTACAAGTCTGATGACCAGAGTTCAATTTCCAGGCCCCACATGGTTGACAGAAAGAACTGACTGATGCAGGTTGTCCTCTGACATCCGCACGTGCACACCTACCCCACCCCCAATCAATCTTTTGTTTTCTTTTTGGTTTTTGAGACATAGCCCTGGTTGGCCTGGAACTCACTATGTAGACTAGGCTGGCTTCAAACTCACAGAGAGTTGCCAGCTTCTGCTTTCTAAGTGTTAGGATTAAAGGAAGTTATGTGCCATCATACCCAGGGATTTTATTATTATTATTACTAAAAACAATATGGTAAAGAGTGATAGAAGAAATCTGATATCAACATCTGGCCTTCAAGTGTACACACAGACACACAGGCAGGCAGACACACACACAGCAAAGACAGACGGCATGCAAACAAACATTCCCCATTGTCTTGTACCAAAAGCTGAAAAAAAATGGTCATACACACCCCAGCTCTCAGGCAAAATACACCCTCAACAAAGACTCTGATAGCTCTAAATACTGCCTCCGTCAGAGCTATGTTACAAAATGAACATTTCCCCATTTCCCATATGGCCTTTTTGAGAAGGGATTAAAAGAAATATGAGGAAGAGGTAAGACAAAGGAAGGGAAATGAGATGGCAGCGCAAACATGCGCTTGAGTTAGAATAAAAGGCTAGAAAGCTGTGCTGTGAGCAGCACATACCATTTCCCTGAGTGCTGCTGAATGTAGGCTGTGCAACATCTTTAGGAGGTGTCATTAGCACTTGGCACATTGTGCAGGCGGAACTCTATGGCAACCACCCAGTCCTCTGTCTCCTTCAGATGACATGCCAAACTGCTGATTTAAAAAACTGACAAAGGGTTGCCTTCTCACACAGAGGGCCCAGATAAGGGCTTTTGCGACTTTTCAGCCGGAAGTCCTAGTGTTCCTGAGCAGGAATGACCGGGAGCCTTGAGCTCTCAGTACCACTGTGAAGACTGACATCGGAACCATGGCTCCCTGCTCAACAACAGCATCACTGTACTGCTTCTGACTGTAGGTGTAGAGTCCACGACACAGCACGTGCATGCCGGCGAGGGACACCTGCCCCTCTTTACCTCCTTCTCTATTGTGTCTTCTCAGTGATAGCTGGAGTTCACACTTTTCATTTAAATAGTTGTTGCTGTTTTCTGAGACAGGGTTGCAGGTAGCCCAGGCTTGCCTTAGATTCTCTGTGTAACCAATGATGATCTTAAAGCTCCCATCTCTGTGTGCCACCAAGCCCAGCTCTAGGTGTTTGTCATGATTAGTTGGAATGTAGCCAGTGGTTTTTTCTTCACTGCATTTTGATTTCATGTTTCTGGAGACTGAATCCAGGGCCCCGTTGCTAGGAAAGTACTCTACCACTGACCTAAAGCCCAGCCCCCGTGATGCAATCTGAGGGGAAAACCTCTGTCATTGAAAAGCCTTGACATGAGCCAACTGTGGCCAGGCATGGTAGTGCCCATGTTTGACTCTGGCACTTGGAAGGCAGAGGCAGGAAGATCTCTATGAGTTCACGTGCTGAGTTATAGAGCAAGCTCCAGGATAGCCAGGGCTACATAGAGTAGCATCTCTGGAAGGGTGGCGAAGGGTTTCTTTTGTTTTACAAAACTGCTCTACAAATGCACAGTCATTACAAAGAGTGAACCAGAATTGTGTGCACAAGTTAATATGTCATCCTCCCCCCACCCCCGCCACAGGGTTACCTGGAGCCACAGGAAGTCCAGGGGAAAGGGGAGAGAAGGGAGATGCTGGTGAACTGGGCTCTCCTGGAAATGAGGGCCCACCAGGGCAGAAAGGTGAAAAGGGAGACAAGGGAGATGTGTCCAACGACGTGCTTCTCACAGGTAGGCTGCCTGCCGCAGGGTCTCGACACCAGGGCATAAAGACCTACCTGCCTCGTCCAATCCAGGGGCTGTTCTGATGGCTTTGATCTTTCTGGCCCTCTTCTCCGGAGCATGTTCTGGGATGCTTTCTTCCCTGGTTTGTTTGAGGCAAGGTCTTCTGTATCCCAGGCTAGCCTGGAACCCCGCTGTGTAGCAGAGACTGACCTTGCCTTGTCCTCCTGCCCCCACCTCCTGAGTGTTGGGACTATAGCGGGGTACGCTTGCCCATGTGGACAAGTGTGAGTCCGGTATCCAGCATAAGGAATTTAACTATTACCCTGGTTGGCAGGGTGTGGTAGCTTCTGCCTGAAATCCCAATCGTGGGGAGGCTGAGGCAGCATGGTTGCTTCAAGTGTGACTGCTTGGTAAGACAAGGTGAGTGGAGGCAGAGTTGAACTAGGCTCATGGCTGTTCCGCTACACTCAGAAGTGCTCCCTCTAGCTGGCTCAAGAAGGAGAATGGGAGGGGCAGGGTAAGGGGGTGAAGTAGGGCAAGGGGGAGGAGGAAGGTGAGGAAGTAGAGGAAGAGGAGGGAGAGGAAAAGAACCTTCAGGGTTCTAAAGAATCAGAACTGGGGTCTCCTGGCACCACAGTAACCGAGGCCAGGCTCTGCTAAGAGACACTGGAGCTGGGATCCTGCTCTGTCACTTGTCACCTACACCACCACTCCCTAGCAGAACTCTCCTGGGAAGATCCCATTCCCACCCCACTGAGGGACTTGGAAGAATGAAGGAAGATTGCTAAGACTCTTGGCACAGACCCTGCATAGAATGGGTCGTCAGGACCTACTATGGTAGCTCCATTTCTAGGAAGGGATGCACGCAGTGGTACTCCAGAGCTTATCTTTCCCTAATGGGAAACTGTCACTCTTTTTTATATCAGTTTCTCCCCTTCCTTCTCTCTAGGTGCCAAAGGTGACCAAGGCCCGCCTGGTCCCCCTGGACCCCCCGGGCCTCCGGGCCCTCCTGGAACCAGAAGATCCAAAGGCCCACGGCAGCCAAACATGTTCAACAACCAGTGTCCAGGTCACTGAGCCCTGGCCCCAAGAAACCCACTCCTTACCCTAATGATATCTCTTCCAGACTGCCAGGCTTTGAAAGAGGGAGAATTTGTCCTAATGGGAGTCCTCCCTGCAACAGGGGCATGAGGACTATGACAGGCCAGCCCTGGACCTACCGCCCCTCCCCTCCCTGCCCTCCCAGCACTTACCTCCATGCCATTCTTTCTTCTTGGCCGTATAAACCTCTCCCCATCCCTGGAGCAGTGTTTTATTTGGTTTGTTTTTAATTACAGTTACAACTGAAGAACACGGTGTCACTAGGTCATCTGAGCGCAGCATCATGAGGGCTAGGCTGTTAACAGTGGCAAGCTCCTGAGAGAGTGAAATGCTGGAAGACAGTGGAGTAGTCCAATTGCTTAATTCCCTGCAGGGAGTAATTAGAGCATTTCCATCACTGTCAGTAGTGTGTGTGCTGGGGGAAGCTGAACCCAGAGCCCCACGCCCACCACGTCTTAGCTATACCTGCAGTTCTCCACCACTTAGTGAGTGGGAGATCATATCGCCAGCCACGGTGCTGTCCTTAGTTCTTCTGATCCCCATGACTCTCCTAGAAGGCTGGCATCCTTATGTCTGGCTTACAGATGGGAAATAGACACCTAAGGAACTACCCAGCCCAGTTCAGTTCAAAAGTTCCCTAGAAGCAAAGGATCACAATAATGGAAAATATTTCTACAGCAGATTTCAAACTTGAATGATTACCCACAATGACTTACCTATCTTAAACCAGGAGGGATAATTTGAGCTGTCATTTCAGCAACAGATATGCAGGAGGACCCTGACCTGGATTCTCTTTGACTTTTTCCAAACAATTGCATTGTTTGAAATAGTGTTCTTTCTAGATGTTTTCAGGGAATGAACCCAGATACCGGAGGGGATCTGCTGGGAAGCTTACGTCTTGGGATTGCTAAAAAATCAAGCAAGCAAGGAGCATGGTGGAAATGTTATAATAGATATATTTGGGACTTTGTGAGGAAGTGGAGGTCATAGATATTAACCTTTAATATAACCCCATTGTGACGACAGCTTCTGTTTCGACTGTTGCCATTTTAGGTGAGGCGTGTGTCGCACCAAATGACGACACCTTGGTGGGGAAAGAGGATGAGAAAGTAAATGGACGCCATTCTCCACAAACAGGTACAAACCCTGGGTACCCTAGGCTGGGTGTGCCTTCATGCTAGTGTGCTTCACCAGTCTCGGCAGGACCTAGATTCAAGCCTCAGCACCACACACAAGAATTGCTTGGAAATTCATAACTGGATGCCTTGACTGTCATAATTGTTAGGTAAGTAACTTCCTCTTCTTCTAACAGAATCCATGATCGCTTCCATTGGAAACCCAGCCCGTATACTAAAAGTTAGAGAGACTTTTGGGACTTGGATAAGAGAGTCTGCTAACAAGAGTGATGAGCGCATCTGGGTGACAGAACATTTTTCAGGTACTTCCCTCCAGAGATGGTCCAACTGGTGCTGTAACACCTACCTTCAGGTTTATCCCATACCTGTGTTCCAAGGTCCCCACTAGCATTGATATAAGACTCTATTTTAGAAAGCACAACTAAATAGGAAGAACACTTTCCTATTTGGGATGTGCTGATTGCCAGCTTTGTAGCTCGGTCCTAGGGACACGACTGCTATAGTGTAAACTATCGAGTTTTAACATGATAGCTGGAAGGAAACCAATAGTATGACAGGTTTTATCAACCAAACCACAACGTGGAAGTGATATAAGAGACAAATTATGCCACACAAAGTACTAATCATCTGCCTCTGAGATGCGGTGTCTTCATGGTGATATGGCCTGACAAATTCTGTGTGCACTAATTGCTCTCTGAGTTTGATGCCATCCTATGAGAGTACTTCTGGCCACGTTTCTCACATATTTGTTGGACAGAGCCTAAGAGGGAAGGCAAAGAACCATCTCACAGTCTCCCCCATGTCTGAACTTAGGCCCAGTTGTACTGTTCTCAAATGCTGTGGTTGAAGTGTCCAGTGGTATTAACAGTGGCCTTGTTCCAGAAGGATCTGACGGGATATACTGGCTGACAAAAAGCTAAGAGCTGCTTCTTGATTTTATCACCACTAACTCAACAGTGCAATAATAGCCTTCATCTCCCAAGCTGAGGGTTTGGGCCTCAAAGGAAAAGAGAAATGCTAATAGAAGCAGCAGTGATCTTAGTGGACAGCAAAGGGTGGGAAGCCACAAGCAGTAGCTGTACAGGTGTGTGTTCCCGGGGTAGGTTTGCGCTGCCTGGTTTTTATACATACATAGAGTGTGGCAGGTGGGACAGGACACAAGTTCTCTCAGTAGCCTGGCTTTTCACGGGACGGTAGGACTGTGGTTGCTGCTGGGTAAAGGTAACAGCTTCCCCCGCTTCCTTCCCTCCTGCAGGAATCATGGTGAAGGAGTTCAAAGACCTGCCAGCTCTTCTCAATAGCAGCTTCACCCTCATCCGCCTCCCATATTACTTCCATGGCTGTGGGCATGCAGTTTACAACAACTCTCTCTACTACCACAAGGGGGGCTCCAACACTATAGTGAGGTGAGCCCCCTGGTCCTCCATGCCTTGCAGTGACTCCTTAAGGGTCTCCTACGGCACCCATTGTGTGTTGCCTTCTGCAGTTGTTTAGATGTGTTAGATCTTTATGTATCTAAGTAGGCCAATCAGGGTTCGTTCCCTAAAGAAATGGCAGAATACGGTGAAGGAGCCTGGGGTCTGCATCTGTTGCTGATGGGGACCTATGAGAAGATGAGAAGTGGGGAGAAGGAGACACGGAGTGTGGCATCTCACATCCTTTGAGATAGGAAGCGAGCAGAGTTGGAGCCCTTCTAGCACAAGGGGCCATTCTCTGACATCAGAGGGCTCACTTTCTCTTGAGACAAGTTATGTTGTTAAAATTCTTTCCCTGGGAGGGACATAAACAACATCTATCCCTCCTCTGAAGTTCCAATGGCAAACAGAAGTGTGATTCTGCCCTAGTTCAGTCTGGGGAGCCAATGAGTTATTATGCTTACTTACAGAACAATGGGTGAGTTGCTTATCCTCAGCAACATGGGTAACCTTAAAGCAGCCACACTAGAAAGTCTACACCTAGCATGGATGATGGCTGCCCCCTCCCCTAGTCCTTCCTCTAGCCCCTCCCCAAGGCCCCAAGACCACATGCAATTAGGGCAGAATTGCATACAACTGGTTGGGAGGAGTGATTGGATATTCAGGTGAGGGACCCATGACCCTCCCTAGTCCTTCCATCTATGACAGAAAGTTGGAAGTCATCACACCCAGCTATAATGACCTTTTACAAGCAGGCCCAACCAGTTTGGTGTGGAGGATAGCCAAGACAGCAAATGTTCCTCCTTGCCTCCCTCTCCTACCATCTCTTCTCCGGTCATCTTGGTTACCCATTTGGAACAAACTCTCTGGTACTAGTAGAAGAGGAAAGAGTTCACCTGCTCAGATTCCTTACCAGACCCATGGGTGCCTGGTGTCTGTTTAACCCTAGCTCTCGGCTATCAGGCTACCAGGGCTACTGGGCCCACAGTTGTTGGAGTGGGGGAGTTCTGGTGTAGAGGCCGAGGAATGAGAAATGGACTCTTTAAAAATGGGGTGTTAGTAGAACACACCTAAAATTGGATCTGGAGTTTTTATTTTAGAAGCATGGGTTAAACCCACGGACTCTAGAGCCCCTCTCTCCTTTCTGCTTTTTATATTGTGAGAAAGATTTTTCCTTAGGGAAATGTAAATAACCTACCCCCTCCTTACAGAGCACTAGTGTGCAGAAGGGGGGTCCCACTAAAGCTCAACTTGGGGAACCAGTGAACTTATTGGGCATGCCTTTTAAGCTCAAGTGACTCCCCAAACAGTCAGACCATCACCCTTCACAGATAGAACCCCTGCCCCAAGGCAGCGGACTTCCTTAGACCATAAGGGCACATGCAGCTAGGGCAGAACTGCAGACAAATAGCCACAGTCTCAGGCAAGGATTCTGCAACCCTTCTGATCCCCCATGACCTAGGAAGTATAGCATGAATTCTAATTGTTCTTAATAAGAACCCAGAGACAGATATTGGGGTTAAACCTGAAGATCAGAAAAGCAAAGCAGCCACTAGAGAGTTCTCACCTCTACCAACGCTCAGACCAAAGGGCTCAGACTGCATCTCCAGACCACACTGCTCCTCAGACTGCACTGAGCTCCTGTCTCCTCCCACTTTATATTTCTCTCTAGGGCTGGGATTAAAGGCGTGGGATCCCAAGTGCTGAGATCACCTTTGTGTGAGCTCTGTTTCTCATTTAGACAGATTCAATCTCGTGTAGCCCAGGGTGGCCTTGAACTCACAGAGATCCATCTGCCTCGGTCTCACAAGAGCTGGGGATTAAAGGTATGAGCCACCACTGCCTGGCCTCTATGGCTAACTAGTGTGGCTAGCTTTGCACTCTGATCTCCAAACAAGTTTTACTTGTTAGATCATAAACAAAGTGTCACCACAAGGAAGGAATGTGTCCAAAGTCAACAAGCCCAGTCGAAGGGTTCAAGGTTATGCAGAAGACAGCTGCTAAGCTCAGAGCACAGCGGTCATCTACAACAGACTGGCCAAGTTGCCTAGGCTGCTCTTAAATTCTCTGTGTGGGCCAGGAAGACCTTGAACTTAGCTGTTATAGACCCTAGAGAAAGTAACAAGTATAAGGCCAAATAAGAATTCTTTATTTAGGCTTGTGACCAAGAAGTGACACCTAACACAAAGAACTCTCCTCCCTGAGCAAGGCAGGATAGGGTTTATTAAAAAAAAAAAAAAAAACACACACACACACAATTACATCATACCAGAGGTGGGCAGAGGGTCAACTTTTCAAAGGTTTCAGTTCAGTGGGTTTATGTTGTAAAACAAAGGGCCTCCCAAGGCATACAAGAATGTCCTGCTCAGCAGGATGTACCCGACAGGGGCTGGGGAGCAGTGACTTGAAATGCAAGATGGATTTAGCTGAAACCAGGACAAAAATGGTCACATTGGAGCATTTCACTTAACAATCCTCCCAGGTACTTGACATTATAGTCCTGTAGCACCACCAGCCTTGGGTGAGCTGACTGGGTAGGGAACCCACTGCAAGCCTAGGCTAGATCTGCATCAAGCTGCAAGCCTTTGAGGGGCAGGACTGAGTCAAAGGGGGCTGTTTCTGTGGGGGAGACACCTCGCCCACCCCCATGGGGCTAGAGAGCAGTAGAGTATTCCAGCTGGTACTGGAGTCCTTCCCATGTACTGGCTCTTTTCAGGCTGCTTTCCAGCCTAATTCAGGTTTTCTAGTCTGTTTCTGTTTGCCCTGCTTTCAAAATGCCTATCACAGTCACATAAGCCTTGCTTTCTGCAGTCTGCTGCTCAATGGTGCCCTCTGGTGTTTTCTTTTAGCCTAATAGCCTAGGTAAACTTACCCCCACCACTCCCACCCTGATTAGGTAGTGCTTGAATCATAATTCACTTTTTTGATACTATTGTGGCTTGGAGCCTGCGAAATCAGACCCCAGATGCTAAGGGACATGGAATTTCATGCAGTGGTTGTCTTCATAGCCTTTGCTACATCTTTTGTCAGCTGGTGACTTTTCTCTTAATTCAAAATTTATATGTATGTATGTATATGTATACACACACACACACACACAGATATATATATATATCTGTGTGTGTGTGTGTGTGTGTGTGTGTGTGTGTGTGTGTATATATATATATATATATATATATATATATATATATATATATATATCTTTTGGGAGTTTTAAAGCCCAATTTAGAGGCTAGATATGTATCTCGGTTGAGAGAGTGTCTGAAGCTCTGAGTTTGATCTCCAGCACTATAAAACCTAGGCTTTTTGGTGCTGCTAGCACTTGGGTGGAGGCAGGAGGATTAGGTGTTCAAGGCCATCCTCAGCTACATTGCTAATCTGAGGATTGTCCATAACCACACTACTGTCTCCTTTGCTTCTGATAGCACAGGCTCATGACTGGCCTTCATATCCTTGCTGCCCAGAACACCATTGAAGGGCAAGTACAAGAGAAGTTGCCTGGAGCTTCTCAGCAACAGGAAAACAAACAAACAACAAACCCCACCAGTCCTGTTCGCTCAGTTTTTTTTAATTTATTTTATATAACCAAGTCCATTTAAATGAAAACAAACATAGACAATATTTGGGAATTTGGGCGTCGTTCTTTCCAAACTACTTCCTGCTGGTAAGGGGCACTGTCATGGGGGATTCGAAGAAGATGCAAAAATCTTGGCTGTAGTCTGTAAGGCTGCTTTGTCCAGCTGTTTTGAATGTAGGATCACCTGGTACTCTGTTTCAGGCTGTCTGGCTTGATCAAACCACATTAGTCTGGAAGGAATCCACAGCTTTTCATTTTCTGTGGAAACAAAAATAGAAATCCTTTTCCCCAGTAACTTGTCCTTGAACTTCAATTTTGGAGTCAAAGCATTTTTGCTGCTCAGTTTTATAGGAGCCTAACAAACGACCGTGCTCACAACACAGCTACCCCATCTAACTCGTTTTTTTTAAAAAACACGTTTCAGATTTGAATTTGGCAAAGAGACACCCCAAACCCTGAAGCTTGAGAATGCTTTGTATTTTGATCGAAAATACCTCTTTGCAAACTCCAAGACTTACTTCAACATAGCTGTGGACGAGAAGGGCGTCTGGGTTATCTACGGGTCAAGTGTGGATGGCTCAAGCATCCTGGTAGCACAGCTGGATGAGAGGACATTCTCTGTGTTGAAACACATCAATACCACATACCCTAAATCCAAGGCTGGCAACGCCTTCATTGCTCAAGGGATCCTCTACGTCACAGACACCAAAGATACGAGGGTCACATTTGCCTTTGATCTGTTAGGAGGGAAACAGATTGATGTGAACTTTGATCTCAGAATGTCCCCCTCTGTTCTTGCCATGTTATCATACAACATGAGGGATCAGCATTTATATTCATGGGAAGATGGCCACTTGATGCTTTATCCTGTGTTGTTTGCAGCAGCAGCATCAAGCCAGCGCTAGGCTGCCCCCTGTTTCTTCCTTACACTCCACATGTTTCTTGGGCTGTTCCAGCCCAGCAGAAAGCTTGTCTGTAAACAATATCCAGGTCCTTGGATCACAACCCTGTGCCACAGGCACTTGTGCAATCAGTGAGTCCTCTTCAAACCAGGTTGCTCAGATGGCTACAAATTGGAAATGGAAATGGCTGAGGTCTCATGATTCCTCCTCAAACTCAGCAAGTTGGCACTCTTCCTTAGTTTCCCCATTGGTAATATGAAACATCTGAGCATGTTGATAACAATGTCCTCTATTTGAATGAAACTCTGTGATTCTTTGCTGGTTATATATTAGATTGCTTTCCTTCCTCCCCCTCGTCTTCTTCTTCGCCTCCTCCTTCTCCACCTCCTTCTCCTTCTTCTTCTCATGTAAACAAGTTCTCTGCAGCTTGAGGGATGAACACATCTGTAATGACTTACATTTGGTATCTAGAGTAGGCACATTGGCTCTTAAGGCATCTGAGGTACCGTGTTTTCCATAATTTGTTATTCTTCTCTGAATGTGCACCTGCCACCACAGAATGGTCACTGTTTTCAGCTCCTCAGTACAAATCCAAAATATGTAAAAAGCAAAACAACAAACAAACCCATGAATAGCTACAAGTCTCTAAATGACACTGCATCAAGCCCTTCCAGGTGTCTGTCGGTCTCTGATCATGTCTGTCTGTTGCTGGGAAGCATGAACACAGATTCCTCAGCTCATGGCCACTTCTGCTGAGGCTACGGGATTGCTGTCAGAGTATTAAACACTCAGTGGGCAATCATCTGGTTAGAGTCATGGAAACATGATGGTTTTCTTGGAAGAGAGGCACCATTTGCAGTTACTCCATTTGCAGTTAGAACAAGGGAAGACAACTGGCTCAAAGGCCAAAGCCAGCCTGTCTCCCGTTGCTGTAAGGGGCGTCACATTCCTGTGCCTAAGAATCATCCTGCAGACCACAACAGCAGTGAACCACAGCAGTTCTGAAAATCCCACATTACCACTCAATCTGCTATACCCGGGCGGCCAGAATACGGAGCTTGGCAGAGGGTGTCAGGATTGGAACACTTAACTAACTACCGAGAAGTGAAGAGGAAGCTGCTGCCATTTATTACAGAGAGTAGTGGGCTTATATACCCAAGGGGGATGGGCTAAGCATAGGAGAAAATCATGCATCACTCACACCTGGGGTCAAGGCATGGGCGCTGCACACCGGAAACTGATGAGAACAACCTTGTTTGATCCACCTTGAGAGCACAGGAGTACAGCTGCATGGGGAGGAAGAGAGCTGCAAGGGACAAGTACTTAAATTTCCCAACACCAATCCTTTACAGAAAGAAAGAAAAATGCTGACCTTATTCTAGGACACGAAGTGAGCCAAGCTCCTGGAAGGGCTAGTGCCCCAGGTCCTGTTCAAACTGAGAAGTGGCATTTTATGTGGCTTGAGCTTTGGCAGAGGGAAAAGCTAAGAACAGCAGCAAGTGAAGTAAGGGAACCTCCAGTCAGGGAAGTATTCGCTCCCAAATGGTTCTCCAGGTTTGTTGTGTTCCTCTTGGATGTTAGAAAACGATCTAGTTGAATAGGCTCCTACGCACCTTAAACGGGCATGTTTTCTGCCAACTCCTTCAGCCTCAAACTGAATTCCAGGCAGGACCATGGAGGTCAAGAGGGAGCTGGGAATTTTACCATGCCCTGAAGACAGGAAGAGAAACTACAGAAACTATCCAGGAAAGATCTGTTCCAGTGTGTGTGCTCTGGGCCCAAACCCATTCTCAGTGGTCCCGTGCATTGCCTGGTTTTATGTTTCAACAGAAGCGCTTTAAGACTCTGGGTGTGCACATTTAGCTCCTTGTTGAGTTCTCAAGGTAATGGTCCGGAAGATTTTCCATTTGGTTGGCTCTGCCTGTCATCACAGCTTTTAAAGATATTCTCTCAGATTAGGTTGTTGCAAGGAGCTCTGTTTAATCAGCGTGTCTAATGAATGCTATTGTTCCTTTAAAGCAGTCAAATATGTGGTACTGTTTTTGAGTACAGCAGACCTGGATATAAACATAATTCCCTTACTATCAGTAGTATGGCTGAGAATAGATACAGTGCTAACTGTACATATATCACAAGCGAAACAGTTATTGAATTAGCTCACATGGTTTTGGTATCTGAACTACCAACTACCATAGTCTGTTTTTTGTTTGTTTGTTTGTTTTTTAACAGGGTCTGTGTTTGCCAGGGCTGATCTCAAACTCCTGAGGTCAAGTGATCTTCCTGTGTCAGCCTCCTGAGTGCTGGGCCCCAGACAAGAGTCTCTTTGTCTCTCTTTAATTGTGGGTAAGGAGTCATATACTCACTAATAGAGAAGCTCACACTGAGATTCTTGTTTGATTCTTTTCATCACTGTTTTCTTTTTCTTTTTGTTATGGTATGATAGGGTTAGAACAAGTAATGATGACTGCCATTTAATGACAGTTTGTCTTTACAGAAGCTGAAGAATTAATATTTTATTTTTTTCTTGCAAACAGTACTTTATATCACACAGAACACACACGCACAGGTGTTTCAGGCTCACTGTGAAAATAGGAGGCACAGTCTTGTGTTTTTAAGTCAAGATATTATTTTAATCAATTCCACCATCACTGATAGCCAGAGTAGTTCTAAAGCATTTTGCATATCTCTGTTTGAAATCAAATAATTCTTGAATTCTTCTCAAATCTAAAGTAGATACCATCCTACTAGAAACCATACCTCCAGCTTCGAAGCGAGGCCAGACTCTCTATACCACAGCATTTTCTTTTAACTGCTAGAGAGCCCCACTAATGCTGCACAGGTGGCTCTGGTCTGGGTGCATCATGAGGCAGAGGTGACAGAATGGGGAAGCATTCCAGGCTGAACATTTCAGATCAGTTCCGGCCTCGGGTTCCTTCAAAGTCTTTTTACTCTCAGACTCAAATGGCGAAATGTCCAATGAGAAAGCCCAATTCTTGGAAAGTTGGCCATCGTCTTCCAGCCATACAAAGTCTATGTGAGCTTTGCCTGTGCGGTATGGAGCGGGAAGTGAGGGGCAGAGTTCAGTTTTCCTCAGCGCCGTGTGGCCTTGTCCCTCACATAGTTCCCATCTGTAACCACAGATTTCAAATGGCCAGCTAATAACAACTGTAGTTAGTAAAATAAAATTATCACTATCACAGATTGTTCCTACTATAGGAAGACATGGAAAATGGACAACTAGGAACCAAACTTGTTTCAGTATGTTTGTTCTCTGTGAGACACACCGTGACCAAGAGTGACTTGGAGGGGTAGAGGTTTATTTCAGCTTACACTATAGTCTATCGTATAGGGAAGCCAAGGCAAAAGCTAAGAAAGGGGAACATGGAGGAATACTGTTCAATTCTTGCACTTAGGCATCTTTCTCCCACAACTCAGGACCACATGCCAAGTGTGCACAGACCACAGTGGGCTGACCTTGTAAGTCATCAATCCAAGCAATTCCTCACAGATGTGACTGTAGGCTAATATGATGGAGGTACTTCTTCATTTGGGTTCCCTCTTCCTATATGTGTCAAGCTGACAACCATGATTAGACACCATAGAATTGGCTACACACAGATGTAAATTGAGTAGATATTTGATGACATCAGCAGGGCAAGGGAACTGGGAATCTATCTTCTGGGGTCAAGAATAAAAATGCCTGCTTTCAAAAGCTAGGCTTGTATGAATTTGAACAAGTCTCAATTCTTTAGAATAATAGTATAACCTAATGTGCTGGCTAGTTTTATGTCAACTTGCCACAAGCTTGAGTCATTTAAGAGGAAAGAACTTCAATTAAGAAAATGCTTCCACAGATCTGGCTATAGGTAAGCATGCAAGGCATGTTTTTTTTCTAGTGATTGATGGAGGAAGGCCTGACCCATGGTGGGTGGAAACACCCCTGGGCTGCTGGACCTAGTCATGGGAGCAAGCCAGTAAGCAGCACCCCTCCATGGCCTCTGCATCAGCTCCTGCCTCCATGATCCTGCCCTGTTTGGGTTCCTCCAATGATGAACAATGATGTGGAAGTGTAAGCCAAATAAACCCTTTCCTCGACAACTTGCTTTTTGGTCATGGTGCATTTCATTGCAGCAATAGACAGTTATATACCTTTATGTGTGGAATGCTCTAAGAACTACAATTCTTGAGAAATTAGAATTTTTCTGTTCCTAAGACAGGGGCACAATATCACTAACTTCTATGTACTGGCTGGTTTGATTAGGCAGGTAACATTGTCAATCCACCAAAAAACCGTCCCTTAGTATGCAGTGAATTTACACTAAGACTGCCTCAGCTAGTGGAAAAGCAGTTCAAGAACCTGATGCCTATGGAGCTTCCCGGTTCTGCCCCTGGTAGCTCAGTGTGCACTGCTTTTGACCTTCATAACTGAACAAGTACAAAACAGAAGTAAAAAGAAAATAAGATCCTTGCCCCTGTAAGTAGGCCATTCAGACTTTGCAAATATCTTGTAGCTGCTAGTGGTGGGTTTTAAATAAGGATGAGGGCTGGAGAGACGGTTCAATGATTAGGAGTACTAGCTGCTGCTCTTCCAGAGGATCTGGGGTTCAATTCCCAGCACTCGCTCACATGGAAGCTCAGAACTGTCTATAACTCCAGTTTCAGGGGGTCTGGCACCCTTGTTCAGATGTATATGCAGGCAAAACACCAATGCACACGAGACAACAATCATTAATTAAAAATAACAAAATATGGATGAAATTAATCTCCCAGCTTCTTTTCCCTCCTAATAAACTGTTAATGGTCAACCTTGACAAGTGAAGTTGTTTCAATTCAGTTTCTTTTTAAAAAGTAAGTGTGTGTGTGTGTGTGTGTGTGTGTGTGTGTGTGTATACATGCGCGCACACGCCCACATAGGTGCCTGCTGAGTTCTCCAAGTCTCACATCTCCCTGGAGCTAGAGTTCCAGTCCTCTATCAGAGCAAAGCAGGCTCTTCACTGATGAGTGGTCTCTCCAGCCCTCACTCAAATTTCAGCTCGTAAGTGGTTTAGCTACCTACAAGTTTGAGACCTGTGACTAGCAGTCTGGTTATGTCAGCATGCTAAGCTTGTTTACAAGGAACCATGTCCCCAGTTACAGGATAGGGCCATTACGAGACATGTATCCAACACTGTCATTTTAATATCCAGCAAAGTAGCACACCAGAAGATGGCTAACACCCAAGAGTAGTAGCCCAGGTGCTAGAGTAGATGTTTCCCTGACTTTATTACATTCTCTACCTCATTCTATCATTGACAAAGGACATC